AAATTTGCTTAAAAGAGTTCTATTTGTGATCCCTCTAACATTTACTTTTGAGATGTTGAAGTTGTAAAATAGGTTCTCAAATGGTGAAGTTTATCTCAAAGCATTCAAAGATCATCAATGTCCACTACACTAAGCTTGTTTCTAGTCAAGAAACTTAGTCATCACTCACCATTTGATCTCAAGGAAGATATGGCCAAAGTTACATGCTAAAATGTCAAGGAATCTTAAGAAACAAAGCTCCAATTGATCTTAGAGCAAGGCAAGTCAATACTATGCAAGAACAGGTAAGAAAACTTGGAAAAACCAAAACCATAGTCGACCCCATAAAGCCTATAATCAACCCTAGAATAGTGCCATAGTCAACCCTAATGAAGCTATAATTGACCCTAGAAGAATGCCAATCGACCTTCCAAGCTCTAATGAGAAAAATACAAGCTTTCTAGTATGGATGACAATTAGACACAAAATTCAAAAGAAAAATGGTTAATTTTTTACTTTAATCACCTCAATGGCTCCAAGACTTCTTTATCTATAAAAAGGACTATTTGGAAGCATTTCAAAGTGAGGAAGAAGAAAGAAAAAGGCCAAACTCTTGAGGATCAAAGTCTTGAAAGAAAATAAGAGAAACCAAGCCTTTATGAGCTAAAATTTCTTTGTGCTTTCACTCCCATCTTTATATCCTATTATTGTTGATTTATCATGTAAATGTATGTATTACAACAAGTAACATAAGAGTAAGTAGAGTGTCAAATCCCATGGAGAATTATACCAATTTTTGCTATTAACTCAACCTAATTTTATTCAAACAACTAAATTAAAATGATTTAATAAAAGTAAAACCAAAACTAAATAATAACTAAATTGAATCTAAAAGCTAATGGGCAAAAAAGCTAATGGGCAAAACTTTACTAGAAAAATTCAATTAATAAAATGCCTAGGATTATAATATCCTGCAACACTTCATCTGAATCTTTTTTCTTTCTCTAAACTTACTTCAATAGATTAAATTGCAAACTTAAAGTCCTAATTCATTTATAAGCCTCTGTTGAAGTTCTTACAAAATTATATCTTCCAATTAATTTAGTATATGTCTGTTTAAATTCAAGTAAATAAAGATTTATTAAGTTTGCGCTTTAATATTAGCTACATGCGAAACTTAGTTATATGTTTATCTTATATGTAAATCAAATCACCTAATCAACTAAATAAATTTGAACACATGCTAATCTATTCATGGGCTAATCTAAACTCCTTTCGTCAAGTTGTATTTAGATGTTCAAATCAATCTAATTGGAGATCAAGCAATTAGAAGCATTAAATGCAGAATTTGAATAAACAACTCATATTCCATTGAAAATAAGAAAAAGAGAGATTAAAAATTTAAATTACATGTTGAGTTCAATCATAAGCTTAGAAAAAGTAAATTAGTTTATAATATTAACTAAAGACATCATATTCCATTTTAAAGACCACTTAATATGAGTTGATTATCAAAGTTTAGGATATACCAAGGATGAACACCCAAGCAAGAAAAACACTTCAAGAAACTTCAAGAAAAGGGCAATGATGGCAATGCGGAGTGATAATGATGATTCACAAGATGAAAACGATGATAAGATTGCTAATCTTTGCTTCATGTCACGCGATGATTATAAGGTATATCCTATCCCTCATAATCTTGATCCATGCACTCATAAAGAAAATGATTATACATTTGATGAATTGCAAGATGCTTATGCTAATCTTAGAGAATTTTAATATACAAAGGCATCATAAGCAAACTTAAGGATAAGAATGAGAACCTAATTAAGGCTAGGATTGAGCTAGA